TGATTTGCATTTCCCTGATGATTAGAGATGTTGAACATCTTTTCATGTGCCTACTGGCCATCTGTATATCTTCTTTGGAAAAATGTCTTTTCATATCCTTTGCCCATTTTTTGATCAGGTTGTTTGTTTTTCTGCTGTTAAGTCATGTGGGTTCTTTATATAATTTGGAGATTAACCCCTTGTCGGATATATGATTTGCAAATGTTTTCTCCCAGTTGGTGGGTTGTCTTTTCATTTTGTTCCTGGTTTCCTTTGCCTTGCAGAAGCTCTTTAGTCTGATGAAGTCCCCTTTGTTTATTTTTTCTTTTGTTTCCCTTGCCTGAGTAGACATAGTATTCAAAAAGATGTTTCTAAGGCCAATGTCAAAGTGTACTGCCTATATTTTCTTCTAGGAGTTTTATGGTTTCACTTCTTACCTTCAAGTCTTTAATCCATTTTGAGTTAATTTTTGTGTATGGTGAAAGATAATGGTCTACTTTCATTCTTTTGCATGTGGCTGTCCAGTTTTCCCAACACCGTTTATTGAAGAGACTTTCCTTTCTCCATTGTATGTTCTTGGCTCCTTTGTCGAAGATTAGCTGTCCGTAGATGTGTGGTTTTATTTCTGGACTTTCAATTCTTTTCCATTGATCTGTGTGTCTGTTTTTGTACCACTACCATGCTGTTTTGATTACTATAGTTTTGTAGTACATTTTGAAGTCAGGGATTGTAATGCCTCCAGCTTTGTTCTTTTTTCTCAGGACTGCTTTAGCTATTTGGGGTCTTTTTTGCCCCATATGAACTTTAGGATTCTTTGTTCTATTTCTGTGAAGAATGTCATTGGGATTGCACTGAATCTGTAGATTGCTTTAGGTAGTATGGACATTTTAACTATGTTTATTGTTCCAATCCATGTGCATGGACGATCATCCCATTTCTTTACGTTATCCTTGATTTCTTTCAATAATGTCTTATAGTTTTCATTGTATAGGTCTTTCACCTCCTTGGTTAAATTTATTCCTAGATATTTTATTTTTTGTTGTTGAGATTGTAAATGGGATTGTATTCTTGAGTTCTCTTTCTGTTAGCTCGTTGTTGGCATATAGAAATGCAACTGATTTTTTTAAGTTGATTTTGTACCCTGCAACTTAACTGTAGTTGTTGCTTATTATTTCTAATAGTTTTCCAATGGATTCTTTAGGGTTTTCTACATATAGAATTATATAGTCTGCAAATAGCGAGAGTTTCACTTATTCCTTGCCAATTTGATACCTTTTATTTCTTTTTCTTGCCTAATTGCTCTGGCCAAAATCTCCAGTACTATGTTGAATAAGAGTGGCAAGAGTGGGCACCCTTGTCTTGTTCCTGTTCTCAGAGGAATGGCTTTCAGTTTTTCCCCATTGAGTATGATGTTGGCTGTGGGTTTGTCATATATGTCTTTTAATATGTTGAGGTATTTTCCTTCTATATCCATTTTATTTTATT